GCATTCATCCCCAATTTTTCGACCTTTGTTTCTCTTCGTGCGTGCCCCAAAGCAAAATAAACCCCACCCCACAAGCTCAATAAGTGGGAAAAAAAAAAAAAAAAAAAGACAAAAACAACAAAGCATTCATCAGATAACAACAGAACTCAATGACGTACTTAACACACCGAAGGCACCTTAATTATTGTTAACACAACAGAACAGAACTAAAGCAACGCCTATTTAACAGAACCAACGAGCATAACACAAACCTCGTCTTGACGAAGAAGAAGCAACTTGCAATGAGTTATCGCAATCTTCAGAAGAAGCTCCATCAAATCTCTCAGCTTGAGACTTGATGTCCATTTGCTTGAGATCCTTCTTCTGGTGGCAATCAAAACCTTGTTCTAGCACTTGTTTGGAGACAGTCTGAATCCCATTATCACTGCCCATACCCACAACCAGTGTTGCTCAATCCATCAAAGCCCCAATCATCTGAATTCTCAAGAGTCCAGAAGAAGCGAAACGGCTCCTAGGAAGCACAGGTGGCCATAAACGTGGTAAGTGGGCCTTCAACGACCAAAGTAAAAATTTAATAGTCCAAAACTTTTGTAACCAAAAAATAGTTGGCACAGAGACCCACCAGTCATCCAAGCACGCACGCACAAAGAACGTTTGGTAAACCTAAAGTTCAAACCCTTTTTCCAACGCAGTTCGTGTTTCCCGCTGCACTTCACGTTCCAAATAAAAACCCAAAACACAGAAAGCAAAGACCAGCAACTGCCAACTGCAATGCAACCTTGGTTACGGAAATACTAATAACTCAAAATTAATTTAATATACTTTGAGAATTTTAATTGATTAACCACGGTCCATAGATCAATGATCAATTCTTGCAAGCACGAGAGTTTTTTTATTTTTTATTTTTTATTTTTTTTACTGAGAATATATCTCCAACGTTAGGGAAGGATTAAGTCAAGACCTGTCAAACGGCCGGTTGCTCTGTCTACGGTCACACCGGTTTAACTTGGTCTATGTCGGCTCACTCTCTGTTTATACTTTATAACATAAGATACAAATACTATGTATTATGTTAAAAGGACAGAATTTATAAAAAGCTTTTCTTAAAATAATTTTACATTTAATAAAATATGCCTAATATTTGACGCTATATGATTACAGAAATGACAGACAATTGTTTATGTCCTCGCGCCAAAATTACTCTTATGGCCTCGTTTCGGTAGAATAGTGCCACCGTTGCATGAATGGGTTCCAAAAGGTTGTTGCTGTGGACACAATTTCCTTCATTCTTTTATTTTATTATTATTATTTTTTTACCATTTTTATTGTTGTATTGTAACCAAAGAGGACAATGCCATCAAGGGACAATGAGTCTTCAATAATAATCATAAAAAAGAACTGCCCAGAAAGAGTTTTGTGTTTTTTTATGAACATTGTCACTGTGGTAACACTAATATATTCGTAACATATGACTTCTGTAATATACAATGTCTTGAAATTAATAATTAATAATTAAATTTATACTTTGAACAAGTATTAACTTAACATATAAAATTCGAATTTCAAAATACTATATTGATCTTTTATATTTTTTAAGACAAATTTAACAATCATTAAACTAAAAATTAGACAAATACGAGTGATTTATGATAACAAGTTATTTTAAAAATCTTAATTATCATATGTAAAAAAATAAAATAAAGAAAAAATACATTTAATAGTGCATTTTCTTTTATTTGGTTAAGAAAAAAATCGAAATAAAAAAAAAAAAAGTTGAATTCAGCAAACAAAATTTAATTTTTCTTTCTTAATTCAATTTTTAAACTTTTCTCTCTTTTTCTCTGGTTCCAAACACATAGTTAAAGATTTTTTTTATCATTACTTTTTTTTACATTAGTTAAAGGTATTTTAAGCTAAAAAAGTTTAGGTCAAGTAAATTTATTCAAGGGAATACTCTTTTAATGTTTATCTTATTTATATACAAGACTCAATTCAATTTTTTTAAAAAAATCTTAACTTTCTCAATTTACATTGGTTATTATACGTGTTTTATCATATTATATAATAAATTCTTATGTAAGATGAATTTATATTATAAGTACTTAAAATTTAATAATTTATGTATTTGAATATATATGTTAATAAATACTTATATAATTTTAAAGTATTTGAATATATCATTATTTAAGTATTTATAAAATGTCCCCCTCAAAAAAGTATTTATAAAATTTTGTCCCATTTAAAAAAAATAAAAAAATTATAAATTAAATTTTGATTAAAAGTAAAATAAAATTGTAAAAGTGATTAAATAATTTTAAAAAATGAAATTATATATTACAATAATATTAAAAATGATAAAAATCATAACCACCATTTACCTAATTTTAGTTTATAAAAATAAAATTAGTAATAAAATATGAGAAATCAGTTATATATATATATATATATGTATATATAATTGTAATTAAAAATTAAGAGTCATAAATTTAAAAAATTAAAAAATAATTATATTGATTTATAAATAATAATTAAAAATTGGAAAAGAAGAGAAAAAAAAACTTTTGGAGGAGATAATGAAAAAATATAAAATTAATTTTCAGTGAAAAAAAATACTTACGTGAGTGACATGATGATTTGAACTTTGATATTCCCCAATAAATATTTTATAAACTATTTATAAAATAAGTTCAATGAACTACTTATAAAATATTTTATATATAATACTTATAACATAAAGATAAAAAAAAGTTATTTATAAATTCTTCCAAACAAAAACTTAATATATATATATTCCTTTTATTTTCTCTTTTACCAAATAATCTCACAAATTATTTCATTGTCTTTTAAAAAAAAAAAAATCCTTCCCTTTCACTTTCTTCCGAGTACCAAAAGCCTCCTCCTAATAAGATGATTAAATGGGAAGGTGGCAATTGTTGGCCCCATAAAGTGTTGTTATAAGCTTAAATTTTCTTTCCACCTTTTTTCTCATTGACTTTATATGGTTTAATATTGATGAGGGGTTATCATTGATGAGCTTGAAGTCATGGTTTCTAAGGATTGAAAAAGGGTTATTTAAGTTGGTGAATGAGTTAACCTTAAAGGTGATTAGTTCAAAAGTTTCCAAATGAGTCACCATCCTCGATGTCAAGTACTCTTTAAATATGAATTGATAATTAGAATGGACTTGGTTGATGCTTTTGAGAAGATGACTGCAAATGTGTGAAGCCTCTACACTAATCTCAAAGTAACTAAGCATAAGGTTTTTGAGCTCAGGTGTCCCTTGAAATGATTGTCAAATCAATAATGGAAATATATATTTTAGTTTATTGCAAGGTTCAAGGAGGACTTCTGAAAATTTGTCATGGTTATAATTAATGGAAGGTTGGTTTGCAAGTAACTGAACTTGATTGATGAAATCAACACAGGATTTTGTCCTCAGTGTTATATGGTATGGAAGTTTATGTTTTTTTGAGGTATCTCTACGTTCCTTAACATCTGTAAAGAAAATGAAATGTCAAAATGTGATATTAAAGAAATTATAAAATAAAGTGCCTTGTGGCAAGGGGCATGGTGCGAGTTAAAGAACATGTTCGTCAAAATGTGTATATGATGCAGTATGCGAAGAAAACCAGTTTAGGAAATTAATTAACTCGATCAATATATACACACGTTGTTTAGAATTCGAACCGGACATAATTAAATGAAAAATCAGAAAGCACGTGAGAGTTGTAGGCAGGAAGAAACTTGAAGCTTGGCAAACAAAAACTTACATTCATGCAAATAGGATTGCGTGAAGAAAAAGGATAACTTGAAATTTGGACAAACAATAAATACCAAACTATTTCCATGTAACCTTTCAAGCACATGAACTTGATTAATTATCTTTTTCAAACATTGTACGTGTCATCACTTGCTAGAATTAAAGAGGATATTGATTATAAAAAAAGACTATTTTGGCCTAGTAAAACTTTCCTATTTTCGTTTACTCAAAGTACGTATCAAACTCTAAACATCACATAAAAAAAGAGTAACAATCACTTCTCGAGAATAATGATTTTTTTACATAATTAGAATATTAGAGAATTGACAAAAAAAATATACTAAAGCTTTAAGATATTGACAAAAATAATTAATAACACTGACAGTTAGTAGTTGCAACACTACTTCTATTTCATTATTTACGATTAATTATATTTTTTTTTTATCACAAGTGTTATATCACCATATAAGTATATATTAAGTAGTTAGTTTGAGTGAAATTAAATCTGAATCTTGAAAAAAAAAATTAGATAGAGAAACTTTATTAAAGGTGATTGATTATATTCTTTAATAAAAATTAATTATCAATAAAATTAAAATAAATATTTTATTTAATAATATGATTATAAAAAAAATCAGTTGAAGAGTTTTGATTTTTATTATTGTATAAAAATAAAAAATAATATTCAAATTACTAAAATTTAAATTTACAATAAAATTTTAATAAATTATAATTTTCTTAATAAACTAAAGAAATAAAATAACAAAAACCTCATTTTTAATATTTAAATAAAATCGTAAAAGTTATAAATATTACATTGAGTTATTATATTTTTAACTGAGTCAACATCTTTTATCAGGTATGATTTTTAAATGAATTGATATTAGTATTAGTATAGAAATATGAAAGAAAAGAAAAAAACAAAAACAGGCGGCGACAAGGCATTGGGGTTCTCCACTCTGCAGCTTCCACTCTCAAAACAACACCTTCACTCCCAAATTCCAAAATCGAAATCCCAAAACCCTAGGAGAGAGAAACACAGAGAGACGTTGAATGAGTGGTTAATGGCGTCGTCGAAGCTCATGCCGTCGTCCAATTCAAGAAAATCGGAGGCCTCTCCTTCCCCTTCTCCCACCCCACAATTCACCACCAACAACTTCATGCCCATCCCCGACGCCGCCCCCAAAACCGTCGACGACGTCTGGCGGGAGATCGTCGCCGGCGACCGCCGCGACTGCAAGGAGGAGGCCCCCGACGACGAGATGATGACGCTCGAGGACTTCCTCGTCAAGGCCGGCGCCGTCGACGACGACGACGGCACCGACCACGACGCTGACATCAAGATGCCAATGCCCCTCGGCAGCGGCGTCTTCTCCTTCGACCCCCTTCCCACGACGCCGTTTCCCGACGCCGCCGAAGGCTCCGTCATAGGGTTCGGAAACGGCGTGGAGGTGGTCGAAGGTGGGAGAGCGAAGAGAGCGCGTCCCGTTTTGGAGCAGTTGGACAAGGCCGCGCAACAGAGACAGAGGAGGATGATCAAAAACAGAGAGTCTGCTGCTAGGTCTAGGGAACGCAAGCAGGTAAATTTCAATTTCATATTTCACTTTTCTATGTTGTTTGGTTGTGAATTGTCATTTGAGTTTCTCTGTTTCAGGCTTACCAAGTTGAATTGGAGTCATTGGCGGTGAGACTAGAAGACGAGAATGACAAGCTAATCAAGGAAAAGGTGGCTCATGTCTTTTGAATTTTTGTCCTCAGGATGCTTTCATGAGTCATGCTACATGGCAATTTTGTCTCTTGTTTTTTGTAATCATCGCACGAGACAATGAATGAGTTTTTCTTTCAATATCATGCATTTCGAAAAATAAATGATACTCTATATTAAGTGTGACACATCTCCATTTCATTTATATGTCTAAAACTATAGTAATGGAAGAAATGGAGGAATAGAGAAATGGAGAGGATCTTAATATGCTGTTGGATGCGATCCATTAATATTTGGGATTTGCATTGATGGGCTTTCCTTTCGTATACGCGTTTGCAAGTCTTCTTTCTCTTGCTTTCATCGTAAATAAATGGCTTTACACTTTTATACACCATCATTCTCATCCTATCGCAGCCATCCTTGCTTTAGTGTAGCCTGTCCTGTTTATGTGCATCTGGTTGTAGTAAATGTTTCTGAAACCATGGGTATTTATAGTTGGGGTCTGTCTTCTCATTGAGATAATAAAATGGCTGAGCAGTTCTGCTCTTAATTTCTTTAATGCCTTTTCAATTTTGGGTCCAATTTTAATCCCTTTTCTTCCCCCTTATTTACGTTCTAGGCCAATGCCTTATTATGTTTTTGAGATGGGTTTAGAAAAATGTGGTATGTTTGATGATAGTAATGAAGAAAATTCAGTTGTCCTATAACCATTTTATTGTTGGCATTGCATATGATGATCCTCTTGTCTTGAGCTTTTAAATGCTGTAATTTCGTATGGTTTCACTTTTTAGAACTTGTGTCGGTACTATTTAGGACATTAGATGAGTCTGTCATATTTTGTGAGTAATGATTGTGGTTACCTTTTATGTATGATTTTCACATCAATATATTTTCATAAAATCTCATGTTCCTACCACTGCTACTACTTTGCATACTGACTGATCATTAGTGTGCTAACTTCACTGGTGTATATAAACAGAAACGTCAATTATTGCCCATTATTGAGAATGCTTGTACTCTTTTTTATTTTAAAAATATCAATATTTCCGTCATTGTTTGTTCAAATGTGTTATTTAGGCAATGTCACAGCATTTTTCCAGTTACTCACATGGGGCAGGGGGAAGGGACAAGGTTGGAAGAGTGATAACTCTTTGAACTTCGTTGTTTTGCTGTGATTGAAATTCACGTAGATTTGGGTTTGTGCATTGGATTAAAGCTACAGTGTTGAGTCTGCACTGTACCAAGCAAGAAAGCTTTTGTTGGGATGGGACAATGTCTATTTCCGCCTCAGGATTCAGTCTCTAAATTTTTCCTTCTATTTAAACCTGAGGAATGAACTTCCAATTTCTAATCTTTCAACACTTCGGATATATAATGTGCTTGTTTAAATTGGAATGTTTCTTCTAGCATTTGGGGTTGCAAACAATCCACATTTTGGACTGAATGTTCCCAAAACAGGGGATGTGAGGGGTTTGAGTGTAGCCTGAAATACATGTTCTACTTTTGTCTGCCTCATTTCTTGTTGCCCTTTTGCCTTTCCAGATTTAGAGTTTATTATGGATTTTTACCTCGCGATCTCTTACTGAATATATTCTTGTGCAGGCTGAGAGGAAAAAGGAGAGGTACAAGCAGGTACTAATCTGTTCTAAAGTTAGTTTGTCTTGGACCTTTTGGTAAAAATATTTATGATGATAATTTGCATATTGCTTTGAAGAAATTCTTTCCCAGTTGATACTCTAGCTGAAGGTTACAGGTTACTTGCTACTGAGAGAATATGTTATCGGTAAATATTTCTTCTAGATTTTTTGCCTAATGCAACATGACTGGTAATTAATCATGAATGCCCTCATGTTTTATTGATTCATGAAGGTTGCTTGTATATATGAATGATATGAGATATCAAGAGATAGGCAAATTAACTCAGTGCTCATACTGAATAATTTATAAGAGAGATGCAAAATAACTAGTTTGCCAAGATATGTTTCAAGAAGCTTGTTAGCATTGGGCTTTTAGCTATGAGCTTGTCACTGTAAAAAGTGTGGATTTATAGAATAGATGTTAGCTATAAAAAAAGTAATTGAATTGCGACTGACCTGGGGTGTTTCTTGAGCAGCTAATGGAAAAAGTACTCCCTATTGGGCAGAAGCAAAGGCCACCATGCGTACTCCGTAGAGCTCGCTCCTTACAATGGTAGATCAAATACTCGCTCCTTACAATGGTAGATCAAATTTGCTAGTGGTGCAAGGAAAGGAATTGAATATTAACCACATCAGTGATGGGGGAAATAATAACATGAGCAAATTAATCATCATCCTACTAAATCAAAGTTCTCAGCCTATAGGTTATTCTTAAAGGGAGTCGTGGTCAATGATATGAAGAGATAGAAGGAATTGGAGCCAGAGTCGCCAAGGAAAATTCCTTTTACGTAAAAAAACAGCATTCGCTTATTCTTAGGAGGTAAAAGTAGAAGTATGGAGTTGGACCATGTAGTTCAGATACAAATTAGACATTCTGGTCTTTCCCGTGCAGAATGCCAATGTGTGCTAGTATAGAGCAAAGGGGATATGTAGACGAGTATATAATGTAGTCATGGCTTAGACAGATATTTATTTGGAGAAAAAGTATATAGAAATTGTTTATGCGATCTGTCACTGCGTTTAATCTTGAAACCTCTGTGCATGTGAAAGATAATCACTGGTTTGTGGAGATGCGTCGTTATTTCAGCCTTACGATCCTGGTCCTGTTGAAAAATACCAACAGCGCTGTCTTTGGTGCGGATAATTTATCGATTTTATAGTATCATATTTTTAATTATTTTGTTTTATCAACAGTCCTCTTCTAGAAAGCCGAAGTAAATTTTGATTATATAAAATATAAACTGAGAGCTTTTGAGAAGTGAGAAAATATTAAATAGACAAAAGACAACAAAAATGATGCTTCCTCTTTGTCGTGTTATCCTTGTGGTTTCGTTATCTGTAAGTTGGACCACATGTTGAGAATAACAAATGAGAGCAAAGCTGCTACCTTTGGGAAAGACGTCGAGCCTTATATTTTGACTGTCCCTACTTCCGTAGGGTTGTGCCATTATACAGCAATAACACTAGTCACCAAGTGTCTGTTAAAAGTTAATCTTATGTTAAATGTTTAGGATTCTGGACTTCAGAGCTGTAACAGTAAAAGGATGGACTGTTAAACGAGGGACACCTCAGTTAGTTAAAAGGAAAATGAATCATGTGGCTGAATGTTGTTCAAAGAATATTATATATCAACATCTCAATATTATAAACACTTTTTTTCATGTTCCTCGTTTCTCTCCGTCTGTTTTTAGTTACTTCACATCACCTGTTACTTAATAGCGAAATCCTGTTAAGATTAGCGAGATACCGAAACAAGGAAATGCTTAGATCATTATCTAATTTCTACTTTATGCTTGCTTTGTTAATTGCTGCAGCTGAAATAATATTTTAAGCCTTCTCATAATAAAAAAAAAAGGAAAAATTGGGTGAAAGTGAGGTAGAAGAAAAATGGATAATGATAATAATTACTCAAAAAAAAATCAACGAAAAAGTGTTGTTAGTGTAAGATGAACTAATATAGAGAATAAAAAACATTATATTACTTTATGAGACCCATATACTGTCGCATAGATTTATTATGGTATACTGTCTGTTTATTCTCCAACTAATTGAGGCATGTAGGTAATCCTTTGGCCGCAAGCTATTTGATTGAGATGTATAATTATCTACAAAAATTTCCGTAGATAACTTATCTACGAAAAAATCCGTAAATAAGTTACCTATGGATTTTTCTGTAGATAAGTTATCTATGGATTTTTTCGTAGATAAGTTATCTGTGAAAAAATCCGTAGATAAGTTATCTACGGAAAAATCCGTAGATAACTTATCTACGAAAATTTCCGTAGATAACTTATTTATGAAAAATTCTCTTAGATAACTTATCTAATGACAATTTTTAAAAATATTTATTTTAAAATATTATAATGAATTAACTAAAATTTTACAATATATTTTAATCAAAAATATATCTTTTGGTCAATACGGTGACTAAAAGTATTATAATAAATAATTAAATTAAAAAATTAAATCTTATAATAATTATTTTTTAATGATGCTAAATTAAATATTTTAATTATTTAAAATGGATAATGATAATAATTACTCAAAAAAAAATCAACGAAAAAGTGTTGTTAGTGTAAGATGAACTAATATAGAGAATAAAAAACATTATATTACTTTATGAGACCCATATACTGTCGCATAGATTTATTATGGTATACTGTCTGTTTATTCTCCAACTAATTGAGGCATGTAGGTAATCCTTTGGCCGCAAGCTATTTGATTGAGATGATATCACACGTATGGACAAAAAGTATTATGGATACAACAAGGAACGTAAGTGAAAAATAATATGATCTGACCATGCATCATATATGTAGTTGAAAGCTTACCCTAATCCAAGAATTAATTTATATCTAACCAAAAAAGAACCTAATTTAGTATATAAAATAAAAAGGCCTAGCAAGGTCATTCCCTTTTATACAATCAATGTGGTTTTTCCCCTCCTAGTAGTCATATTAAATTACATCGGTTACCTTATAAGCAGAGAAAAAAATAGGAGAGCTTGAAAATTTTATTCCCGCTTGCATCAAAGTGTGAGCAACACTGCATTGTACAAAGTAGGGAGCAAAACTTCATTCAAAATAAAAGGGGTAAAGTAGAAAGGCAATTTTTATTTCTCACCACCCAAGAAGAAAGTTTTGTTTGAATTGAAAAACGAAACCAGCATTTATATTGACTGCAGTGTGATAATCACAAGACTAATCATTTTAGAATTATAATCCCCATCACATACTTGAGAGCCCCAAAAATTTTCTTGTGATTGTGTGTTCCAACCCATTTTTTCAACTTGTTCGTTACAAAAGATTTTTTCAGAAAAAAAATGACACCACCTTTTGCTGTGTTAAATAATAATATGAGCAGTCCATCCCCAACACCCATGTCTGGCACCCATTCAAACTCTCTCTTATCAAAAAGCCAAACACACCTGACAATTTAACAGTCTCCTTCCCCACTATCCCTCTCTCTCTCTCTCTCTTCCCCACAAACACAGTTTTCAAAATTCTTTTTCTTTTCCTATTCCATAATTACCCAGAGAGCCTGGCCAGACATAAATACAACACCACAAAACAAAACCTTCAAATCCTCATCTAAATTATTCACCCTTCTCGCTGCAATTTCGTTTCAAAAACAAACCACATTCATCACAATGCCCTTCCTTGTTCTCTTTCTCTTTCTCCTACCTCCACTGTTCAGGCTTTCACACTCAGCCACAATTCTAGTGGATGGATCTTCAGAGTGGAAGAATCCCACTGTTTCCATCGGTGACTCCATCAGTAAGTACTTTCTAACACCCAGATTTGGAATTGCGATCTTCATAAGCGATGTTCAACACTGGGTAGCAGTATTAGCTAACATTACTCTGCAACATTTTCAGTTTTCAAGCACAAACAACACTACAGCCTCTACATTTTCAAGAACCAGAACGCCTTCAAACTCTGCAACTTCACTCAAGCCACTCTTCTCGCCAACCCCTACACGGTAAGGTCCTCAAAGACTCAATCTTTATCTGAGTCAGGTGAAAAAATGTTAAATTTTTTAATGTTGTCAGTGGCATCCATCTCGGCTTGGTTTCTTCTACTTTGCCTTCCACAATGGCACACTGAAAGCATGCCAAGAGTCTCAAAAGCTAGCCATAAAGGTTATTACTTCTTCAGCAATGGCTCCAGTAGCAACACCAGCACCTTCTTCTGGTGGAGAGGTGCCATCTTCACCTTCATTTGCATGGCCTTTTCGTCCAAGGCAAGGAGTTTCTTCACCTGGTCCAGCACCACAAGCACAAGCAAGTTCACCAGTGACAGTTCCATTGGTGCCAGATAAAGGTGGTGGCATGCCCTTCATTAACAGTAACCCTGCAGTGCCTCTTCCTACTGGTGAAGTTGACTCTGCTACCATACGCCCCTTACCCACCTCTGGTCATCAAGGACAGGTTCCCATACCCTACATCTCTCTCTCTCTCTCTCCCCAAAATCATGAACTCATTTAATGTGGAGTGTTTCTGTTTTTGTTATGCTGTTAAGCCTGTAATGCACTTTCCCTCATATTGCACAGATTAAGGTTACAAGGTGACAGATTTTTGTTGACACACTTAGTATCAACATGATTGCATTCAAAGAAGGATACAACGAAGGAATTAAAAAAAGTTATAAATTATGATTGTGGTTGTGGTCACAATTTTGTTGCAATTTGTAGAAAATTGTGGAAAATATGCATCAGTCAATGCAATGAGATTGCAAAGACTAACAAGCTTGATATTGTGGCTGAAATTGCGGTGACAGATCTATTTTTGTTAAGCTTGTATATCTCTTAATTGATGTCGGTGCACGTAATTGATGCTAGTGCACCTAAATGAGTATATCTATGTGTGTAGCTAAATGTGGTTTATTAGCTACAAAGGTGCGGATAAATCATAAATGTTATGTTGTGTTTTAGTGCACCTAAATGTGGTTTAGTGTTACTACTAAGTGTTATGTTGTCTAATTAATGTTAGTGCACCTAAATAAATGTGTGAATCTAAATGTGATTTATTTGGAAGAAACGTGGACATAAATCATAAATGTGTTAATTTGATGCAAGAGGTGAGATTGATGCGTTACTGATTGGGTTGTGAGTGCAGGTGATGATGATTGGGTCATTTGGATTTCATATTGCAGTGCAGACAGTGGCTTTACTGCTGCTGTAAGAAGGAAGGGAAAGAGAAAATGGGATGGGGGTAACATAGCACCATGGATTGGGACTAAAGTAGCTTTAAGAGTGATGATTATACCATGTATTAAGATGCTCTTATATTCTACTTTGGAATGGTTGGCACTTTTTGTTCCTTGGATTAAGAAAGCAATCGATTGCTGCATTTGCTTTTTTCCTTTTCCCCTTGCTTTTCATATTTTATGGGGTCCCTAAGATGACCACTGCATGTCATGAAAAATCACACATATGGGGGAGATCTGATGTCATGCCATACCAGTTTCTAAAGCATCGCTGACACATCAAAATTGCAAATATATATATATTGGGACACCTTGCTATGCTTGGTTCTTTAAGCAAGTAGTTTTCAAAACTATGAAATGTAAACAAAAAAAAAATAGTTGGTGTGAATGGTAGTGGTCTCACTTTTCTTCAGTAAAATTTTGGCTTGAATAATCAATTATTAGCTGTCGTTATGCTCACAAATACAGAAGGATATAGTCAAAACGCCATACCTCAACTTGTATACCCAGCCAGACCTACGACCAACCATGCCTGTCAAAGAAAGAAAATGCACGTAATAAATGTGACACTTTTAAAGTCTAAAATTACTATTTTTTTAATTTTAATTTTTTTTATGCGTAACCTAATAAAATATGGGGACTATTTATTATTTATTTATATAAAATTATAAGATATTGCATTTTTTATTAATATCGATATTAGTAAAGAATCGAAAAATTTGATAAGTGAAAATTTTATGATTTCGTTATCAATATCAAAATTATTGGATTTGTAAAAGAAAAAAAAATGTGATTAGGAGAATAAACTTTATTAAAAATATTAATCAAATTTTTGACAAAAATTAGTTATAAATAAAATTAGTAAATATTTTGTATCAATAACATTTTAAAAAATAATATAAAAAATATAAAGAAAGGTGTACTGTGATAATTTATTTTTTTAATAAAAATATGATTTTTTTTTGTTTAAATGAGTTTGTATTTTGTAATAAAAAATTATAATATTTAATTAGATTTTATATAGATATGTATATAGTAACCACTTTCCATAATAAATTAAATATTTGTAATTATTATATCATGCAGATTGCAGAGTGATTATCATTTTAAAAAAAAAAGAGCATGACACCATTAGCTTTAAAATGAAATTTTATTGTCTAATTATCTCTTTAATTTTATATTTGCTTGTTTGTTTATTAATACTTCTGCATTAACATAATATTTAAATACCTATTTAGTTCTACATTATTAATTTTATCTTTTAATTTTTATAATTAAAAATATTTTATTTGAACCTTTATGTATTCTATATTTTAAATCTTTTGTTTTCATAATTTTGTAAACATTTATCTTTTAGTCTTTATGTAAATAGACAATAGAAACTAGAAAAAAATACTATATATAGAAATTTAAATTAAATATTTTTAATTAAGGACCAAAAAGTGAAGATTATAAAATTATAACAACAAATAAATATTTGAAATTTGAACTATCAACGATTTCATATTTTCGATAATAGATTTGAGTTTTTTATTTGTCATTTTAAATGATTGATAATAAAATATTTCGTTTTTTACTAGCACTAATGTCCTAAGAAAATAAAAGTAAATAGTATTTATTAAAAAATTCATTTATGGTATAGAAAATATATTTAATATTTATTTTTAAGAAATAACAAGTATCTCTTCACTACAAGGAAATTCCATTATTGTATTTTGTAAAGAAAAGTTGAATAATTTTAATTGCTCGTTAGCACGGATAGTAACCACGCAGGTCGAGTACGAAGTTTTTGTCTCTTTTCAACATTTGTATCTAATATTTATCTCCATTCTTATGATAATGAAGTTTGTGTCTCTGTCCTCATATTTGTAGATATCTTATATCTGATCAGAAATTAATTACGTATTATTATTTTATATAAAATATTAAATTTTTTTTTAGTATAGAATAATAATTATAAAATTATATTAATTAAGTTTTATTAGATAAATTAAAAATAAAATAAGAATTAAATAAATATTAAAAAATTAAATTAAGTATCTAAAAATTTAAAGTAAATATAAATACGAATACATGATAGGTATATATATACTCATTTCATTATCGTATCTAATTTAATAAATTAAATATTATCCGTATTTGTATCTATACTTAGTCAAATCGAATACTTTCTATCAAAATTAAAACTGAGTTCACATATTATCCGCATATATAAGTTTACTCGTGATCTTTATTTATTATTATTTTTATTATTAATCTTCTATTAATTAACAAATATTTGAAGGATATTACAGTAATTATAAATAGTTTAAACCTATCAATAAATACTCTAAATTTGTATCTAAGGTCATTTTTTTAAGAAAAAAAACTTGTTGCTATGTTTTTTTCTTTTAAAAAAAAAATCTACGATGAAATTAATCAATGTATTCTGAATTATGCATTCATTCTATTGTCTTTACTTTTTCCAGCGTGTTGTTATTTTTTTTCGATTCTTACGCTTTTTCTACAATTACTATAAATGAGTACAAAATATTAGAGCAGTAGAATGATGCATAAAAACCAACGGGGATTAAGTATAGAGAAAAAAATAGATAAAGAATTTAAAAAGAAGTTATATATCTTTAATGAAACAAAAATATTGATTATGTTTCATAATTTGTAAACTATAGTTATATATATATATATATCTGAATTTTATAACCTTTAAATATAGATAAAAAAAATGGAACTGGTAATTAATATTTTTTTTTTGATATTTTTACTTTTAAATAGTGCCTTTGAAGTAGTAGTTATTAATAATATTTATCAATTGTACTTCATATGGGCTTTGTGTCACTGAATGTGATGTACTTAGTTTGACCCAATATCCACTTAGCAGATCCCAAACTTAAGTGTAGTTAACGGACCAAAAAAAACTAGTAGGGTTTATTTGGGCCCAAATTGATGATCGTAACCGAGGGTGGATGATTCTTATTGTGAAGTACTGATTATTGAAATAAAACAGTCTTGCGGGAATTATGTACTGGACCCCGTTGATTTGCATACTTGGTTGATTTGATTCAAAAAACTGAAAAAAGGCTAACAAAAGCCCATTACTAAATTTAAAAGGAATGTTAGAAAATCCAAAAAAGATGAAAAAGAAAAAAAGGAAAGTCCGATATTCGCCACCATGCGTCTTCAACGACCTCCTCCGAAAGACCTATAACAGGCTTTTAGACTATTCTAGAGAACTTTTAAAAACTATTCATCAGGCAAGAAAATTGTTGTTACGAAAAGTGTGTAACAACATTTGATGTTTGTGTCATTATTTATGCTTTAACAACGATATTTGTCAGTCATTTTGATTTTTTTTTTCTTATGATATTAGCAAACTGTGGTAACCACTAAAGTGGTTGTCCTATTTTATATGTCATTTAGTGATGCTTGTTTTTTACATACTCACTCTAAACATCATTTTATAATTTAATCCAATCTTAAAATTTTAAATTGATTTAAAAGTATTTTGAACACGAGTTACATATTGTGAAAATCGTATCATTAGTGATTTTGGTTTGTTTTCCATGAGTGCAACATATGTCATGGATTATAAAGATCAGAGGAAGGATGAACACTATTTTTTAGTAGGTATGAGAATAATAATTATATCATCGTGGGAATTTTAATACCTTATTGTGTTGAATGATGAAACTTACAATTTTAGTTTGATTTTAATTTTAAAGTTTATTTTCTTCTTATTAAATGTAAATTCTTATTGTAGACATGGTTAGTATCATATCAAGCATGTAATCAGAGAGGGAACATGTGATTAACGGTGAGATTAAAAAGTTGGTGTTATTGGAGTTAATCGATTTCATGTAAATTTCATATTTATGTTTGGTTATAAAATGCTCAATAATGTGAAAGAAATGCGGATTAAATTATTGTTTCTGACTAGAGATGGAAAAAATACTCGCATCCGTGGGTATCTGCGGATAAAATCCGTTACGGATAATAAATGGATAGGCTAATTGGGTACCCACGGATAATGGAGACGGATAATTTTTTACCCGTTTATAAATGGGGCGGGTATGATGATATTCATACTCGCGGATACCTGTTTAATAATATTTCTTAAATATCCTAATTATCCTTGTATTACATAACCCTAAAACTACAAGTTCAAAATTAACATTAAATTTTTATTTGATTATCCTAATTGTAACTTTGTGATGAGACTTTAACTTACTTGTGAGATTGGTGTATTTTAAGTTATTGATTATCTTGCATTTTATTATTATTTAACAAAATAACGTTAAATATAAATTCAAAATTAACATTGAATTTTTATTTTTAATATTTCAATGATATTAAATATAAACTTAAAATTATTTTTAAGATAATTTTTTAAATTTCTTAAAAAATTTATAAATATCCATGAATATCCGTGAGTATTCAAGAAATTCATGGATACTCGTGCGGATATGGGATGGGTATGTGACCAATTTTTATCTAGCGGGACGGGGACGGGTTTACTATTACCCGCCCCCATGGGGTCCCATTGCCATCCCTATTTCTGACATTGATTTTTTTTTTTTCATCTTGTTAGTTTGACAAAATTAGTGGGAATATCGAGTGTGCATTATTTGATGAATATGCATAACAGATTCGTGACTTTTTTTAGATCTCATAGCAAATGCACTCCAGTGGTTGGTGTTGAATTTGCTCAAGTTATGCCTTTTGGATGTATTTTATATGGTATGAATATAGTTGTTTTAATTATCATTTTCATTTGAGACATTTAGATCATTATGCTTGGCTTGATGTTGTACTCTTTTAATTCATTGATATCTCCTTGCTAAACAGGTGATACAGTGATTCAAGATGTCACCAAAGTTACTAGAGTTTTAATTAATCCTCTAAACCAAAAATCTTTTCAATTAATGAATTGGTAATAAGAATTAATTTGTTTAAATACAATTATTAATTGTTAGTACCGTAATTTGTGTGTGAAATGAGTTGTGTTTCTACAAGCATTTTACTTGTATTACCTTTAAAACATCTATTTTTTATATACTCTATATTGTGTGTATTATGTTGATGTTGGTTTTTGTTTCATTTCAAAAGTTGAAAGTTGTTTTGCCTTAGTAATGTAGCATGTCAATGTTTGGGTTAGATTTTCAT